AGGTGATCAGAAAACTCCTCGGTGTAAAGTCTCTAGGGGTGGATGAGATCCGCCTGGACTTCCTTAGGGCTCTGGATGTTGTGGGGCTGTATTGGCTGACGCAGCGCTACAATATCACATGGACATCAGATGCATTTCCACTGGATTGGCAAACTAGGGTGGTGGTCCCATGGTGTATTCCAAATATAGGGGGATCACACTCCTGAGCCTCCCTGGTAAGGTCTATTCAGGGGTTCTGGAGAGGAGAGTCCATCAGATTGTTGAACACTGGATTTAGGCTATGAGGTTTTCATCCTGGCCATGGAACACTGGTCCAGCTCTATACTCTTAGGGGGGTCCTGGAGGGTGCGTGAGAGTTTGCCCAACCAGTCTACGTGTTTTGTGGATTTGGAGAAGACGTTTGACCACGTTCCTCTGGAGGCCCTGTGGGGGGTCCTCCGGGAGTATGGGGTACCATGCCCTCTGTTCCTGAATGACCGGTGTCAGAGCTTGGATCGCATTGCCGGAAGTAAGTCGGGCTTGTTCCTAGTGAGAGTTGGACTCAGTCAAGGATGCCCTTTGTGACCGACTCTGATCATAACTTTTATGGACAGGATTTTTTGGAGCAGCCAAGATGTTGAGGGGATCTGTTATGGTGGCCTGAGGATCAGGTCTCGGCTTTTGCAGATGATGTGGTCCTGTGGCTTCATCAGACCGTGATTTCTCCTGTTCGCTGGTGTTGATCTGCACAGGAGCTCTGTTTGAGAAAATCTGAGATTCTTCCATCAACAACAGGAGGTTTTATTTGAAAATGACGAAAAGCCTAATATCCTATTTCAGAGGGAAAATTGTTATAAATGGTGGAAAAATAGTTCTAGGTCACCTCTCTGGAAGACAGTATTTCATGTTGGATTCATAATGTGTTTGCTAAATCTTACACAATAAGACTTGATCTGAGACTTGGTGCTTTAAACATGTATGTTGTTGTGGGTTAGTAGTGAGTTAATGCCCATTTATCCGTGTTCAAAGATGTTTGTGTATTTCTAACTGGTAGAGTTGTTCACATTACTTTAACCCTGATTCTATTTCAGGGAGCCTCTCTTCTAGAAGCCACGGAATACAATAATAAAGATTAGGATCAACATAAAATCACAGGTGGATAAATAGATGAGGAAATGTCAGCTGATGACGGATGAACAC